TGTATTTAGTGGGAAGGCTTTTCTGTTTTCACAAATTCTCTTCCCAGTATTTCCAAGAAACCCCAGAAAATATAGGGAGAAGCAGAAAGTAAATCTCCAGGCTTTAGGAACATCAGTCCAAAAGTCAGTGCAGTCAGTATAATCTCATACTCTCCAGGCCTCATGGACTAGTGAGTTCCAAGTGGACACTTAACCTCTCAAGAAATTGAGGAGCAAGGAAGTCAGTTTGTGTGCTCGTATCCGAGTGGTCCTTTTTGTTCTTTGTTGACACTGCCCCGTATCACTACTGATCTGGGCTCTGTATCTGGCCCTCTGGTTATCCCTGCTCCCTGATGTGTGCAGAAACAACTCTTCCTTCTTGTTCTGGACCTTTCAGAGAGGGGAACTATGGTCATGTGGGTTGAGAAAGCTCCTTGCGAAGTAATTGTAAAAATTCTCCTCTACATTTGGAGCCACACAGATAGTCGAGCAGAACTGGGAGGCATGGGGGTCAGTAACGCAGTCCCCTGCAGATTCTGTTATAGCTGCTGCTGTCAGAAGCTAGGTCCCCGCCTCCCTTTCCCCTGACTCTTGGTGATTTCCACCAAGGGCCAGTGTGCCTCCGCTTAGTCTGTCTCCTTTGCCTTAGTCATTGCTCCAACCGTTGAAGAACAACAGAAACTTTCTGGCCCTTTGCAAAACTGAACACATGGCTAGGTACCTGTTCATGTCTCCCAATACTCCAGGAAGTGAGAAGTTCCAAGTAAGTTCTGTGACAACTAAACTGATTCTCCCTTCTATCTTATTCCAGCTCTGATCTTGTTCTACCAGGATATAGTGTATAGGATGGTTCTTTGTAACATATGTGGAAACCCCAGTTCATAACAAACACCCGCAATATGGAACCTCTTACTGTTATTTAGTATCCAAATTATCAGTGATGTGAAGCCCAGAGAGTACCTTGTAATAGGCCAGGGATCCAGGGATGAATTTCTCTCTTTTTCTTCTGGCCGTTAAAAAAAATTTACATAAATCCAATATAAAATAGCTTGGAATCCTCTGAGTTCTCCTTTGTGTCATTACATGTTTCTGTCTAAGATATACTATCATGGGAGGAGATGATGTACTGTGGCAAAGAAAGGGATCAATTGTAAAATATCTCAGGAGATTTCCTGGCCATTTTCTGTATCAAGCCTGGCACAGGTGCTACATTAATAACCTTGGAGAATAAATCACATTGCCAGTTGCAGAACTGGGACATGTAGATGTTGAACTGATAAATGGTTAGACGTGAACCTACAATGGTGGGTGTGCCCTGTAGGACCGTAGGTGTGGTGTACTTTTAGTTAGAAATTGTAAAAAAAAGAAAAGAAACCTACAAGGAGCTTTAGTTTTGTGGAGGTTCTGGTAACTCTAATCTTTTAAAGTTCAGTTAAACATTCTTCCTTTTTTTCAGACTATTTAACTGGACATGAAGTTTAGTCTTGCTTTAAAACTGTTTTATTCACACATTAATTTGTTTGAGTAGCATCAGCTGTCCAAACTAGACCCAGTCATAAAAATTATATTGGTAACTCAAATGTTTACCAGCAGAAGGGTTTCTGATCATAAAAACTACAGTCTAAAAGACATTTAACCTTTGAGAAGAACAAAATAATCCTGAAAGACTAGGTCAATTGATTGCCTTGTATAATATCTTATAAGTTATCTCTTGCTATTGCTCCCACTTTTCTATATTAAAACAATATTGCTCCTTTATGCATGCGTGGATGTGTGTGTGTGTGTGTGTGTCCTGTGTTTGCCAACCCAGCCCATGGGAGAGTCTCTCTCATCTTGTTCTGTGAGCACCTTGGCTACCCCACCCTACATCAGACTCTTGCTGTCACGAGAAAATGGGCCAGACTGTGGGTTTCCATGTAAATGTTATGCAGGTTGATATTTGAATGTCTGCGACAGGAAGATCATTCTTCCTGCTCTGGGCTGTCTCTTGGCATGTGTCCGATTCCTTGACCTGAGCCAGCCTTCCACATGTAAGTCTCTCATCTGAATTCTCTTTTTCTTAATCAGTTTTTTTATTCTTCTTGATTCTGACATATATCTAGTAGATGACCTTTTTCACCAACCGCTCACATCGCAAAGTTGGTGTATGGGGTGAGCTTCTTCCGTGAGGCTTGGAATGCTTGTTTGAACAGGGCTGGCTTTTGATGCTGGGACAAAACAGCACAAGGTGGGAAGTTTTTACCGAGCGATGCTTAGCCCCACGTCCCACACTCCACGGGCACAGAAGGTTGGGGGGCGTATCTCCGACTTTCACTAACTAGATTCCTGCATTTGGAACAAAATTTGAAAAAAGAAATCCTTACTTTGGTTTTTGTTGTAATAAAGGAAAAAGTGTTGTGAGATCAAATTTACAAAAAATTAGGATTGAGATATATTGTTTATTGGGTTGTTCTGTGATCGCTGAGATTTACAGAGATTGATGATTTGGGGATACTGTCCCGTTGCCTATCTTGCCACTACTCCGGGACCATAAGGAGATGTGCGGTTTTACTAAGTGTATGAGATTGCCTCCAAATTACAGAATTATTTGCTTCATCAATAGAGATTTTGTTTGTCAAAACATTTCCCAGTAAAATGTTTATGCTGTATAAGAAAAACAAGGCTTACGCAGAGCATTATGGCCATTGAGATGATTCACATTCTGGAAGCAAATTATGTTTTTTTACTGTGCTGTTTTGGCTTTAAATAGGATAATAAGTAGACTTTTTAACACAAGGTTTGCCAAAACAAAGTGTGTTCCCTTTCCCCTCTTTTGGAGATGAGTTTAATGGAACAGGAAATAATAACCTCATTTTCTTTCCTACATTTAAAATTGACGTATGTGTACTCATGACCCTAGCAGGTGCAAAGCAAAGGGTTCTTTTAGCGTTTAGTTGTAGTGCAGTAGTTTGATTTCAAACCACACATTGTAACAACTTTTAATATTAAATGGACTAAAGATTTTCTTGCTAATAAATCAATTTATACGATTTTTATGAAGTATGATACCCAGTAAAACTGAAGGATGCAATATTTTTCCAATTCTATAGCTGTTTCATATATATAAGTAGTGATAAATAAGCATATATTAATTACTAATCCAGCTTATTTAAATAATATAAAAATAGGGCCAATGTTATTTAACCCTCTGCAGGTAACAAGGTAAAATTTCTCTTCAAAGCTTAGCTCCAGTATCACCTCACTCTATTAATTCTCTTCTGTGCATATTACTTTCCTCTGTGGAACACTGCTTGTCAAGTATAAAGTAATTGTTTTACATATCTGCCCCCCTGGATGACCTACAGGCTCTTCCAGGACAAGGACTAGGTTTTTGTATGTCTCCACCCCTTCTCACTATTCCTGCCACAAACTGGGCCTGCAATGAAATCTGTAAAATTAAAACAATTGATGTCAGGAGAAGTGTCAGTCGCATACGATCTGACTCACACACAGTGAAGGCAGAGATGATTTCAGGTGACAGATATCCTAATTATTCTGATTTGATTACTCCACAGTGTATGCCTGTACCAAAACATCAGCCTATACCTCATAAGTATATACAATTATTACTTATCAATTAATTTGGGAAATTAAAAAATTAAAACACTGATGAAGTAGGAAAAAGAAAAAGCCCCAATACAAGGAGGATCAACAGTAGTTGCAAATTCTTGTTCAAGTCTGTGAATTTTTTTAAGCATTTGAGGTGAACACTTTGAGTTTTTATTTAAGTCACTTACGAGTCTAAGGCAGTAGCTGAGAAGTCTTTCTGCTCCCATAGCATGATTTAAAATATGCTTGGAGTTAAGTTTGGGATTTGAAGTCTGGCTTCATTATTCTGATGCTTTTGGGAAATTGCTCTATACATGGCCTGTAATTTCCTTAACCTGTGATAAGTAAATCTTCTGATTTACTAAGTTCATTGTATAATAAGTTTTTTGGGGGAATTAGATGAAGTAATGGGGATAATAAAAGGGGATAATGTGCTGAATAGATGCAGTCTGCTGTTTAATGAGTGGGTAGCTAGAAGTCTAGCAAGCCCTTGCTAACCCTTTACCTTTCTGTGGCTATGCTAAGTATCTTCTTGGATGGATTCTAAACTGTATGATGCACAGTACCTCTCCATAGAAATCTGCTCTTGGCTACAGAGGTTAATAAGTTCTATGTTGGACTGTGAAATATTTATGTAGTATTTGTCTTCATTTTCATTGTCAGGAAAGGTTTTTCATGCATCTAAACAATTTCGGTTTTAATGTATTGGATTTTATCTTACAAAGTACATGATAATCAAAACAAACTTATTAGAAAAGGTTATTGAAAGGAACCTATTGCCTACTGTATTTTTTGAAAGAAAAAAGTATCATCTACTTGTAAACCCCAGTGCCCTAAAGTTTCCCCTAAAATGAGGAATTATTGAGAGAAATTCAGAGGTTCAAATGAGACGTTCAAAACCTTACCCTGGCAGGCTGTGCTCACAGTTTTGGGAAGCTCTCTTTGAATGCCAAGTGATGGGTACTGACTTAGATGTGATCCCTCACATCTTTGAGCTACAGAATAATCTTAAAATGTGTGATTTCTCTAGCTAGAAACCTGGAACCATTTTTATCACCAAGTCCAAAATTTTAGGTTGGGTGATAGTTCCCTAATGAGAAATGTTGTTTTATGCTTATGGAGAATGTTCTGCTTAAAGAAAACATGACTTAGGTTCATGAAATAAACTCATTCTGCCCTTTGAGTTTAGAATTTGTTTTGCCCAAGAATTTATCAGGTTTTCTTTAAATACCAACCCTGTCAGTATACTTAAAGTTGGATATTTTTCTAAGGGCAGCTTTGAGGAAGTATGTATATCAGTATGCCCTATCCTCTCCAAAAGAGAATAAATGTGGATTCATTTTAAATTGTGTGAAAATGTTTGCTTAAAACAACCTTTTTGAAGTGGAAAACGTCAAGTTGTTGGACTTAAATCCTCTTCTTTTTCTCTTTAGGGGAATGGTGGTGAAGGCTCGTATCCTGGGAACCTGCCACAGTCCAAGTAAGCTGTTTATGTTGTATGTGTGCGGATTTGTGTACATGCTAGTGTTCAGTTATTGTCAGGAGAATTCTCTGGACTTGACATTCCAGAATATCTCTTCTATTCTTTTGGCAGGGAGCATCTCACACTACCGTCGACCAGGCACACTTCTACAGAGAGTACTGTAACTTCCAGTGGTGAGTGGGCTTGGAGAAGAGGTGGAGATAGAGTTAGGATGATAACTTTAAGCCTCATGTTCAGCAACCTGCTGACGGGTGTGCAAATGAGAAGAGGACAGGTAAATTCTTTTTTTTTTTTTGCATAGTATTCATGCTGTTTCTTTCTGTTAGTAGATTCTGGATCAGAAAATTTGCATATGGCTTCAGGTGACCTTGACTCCAAATCATTCTGTGAGACACTGGAGGAAGCAACATCAGTATCTACCATGATAGAGAACCAAGGTAAGCTGTGGATGGATGGGTTCAGGTACAGGTTTTATTTTGAAACATTCAACCGACCTGTGAGCTAATGAGGTAACTATCTGCTGTGGCTCAATGATATTTTTTAATGTTAATTTTTAGAAAAATCTTTTTAAAATTAAATGTATTGGTACATTTTGGATATACATAATGATCCCATTCATCATAGGGAATTTTACCTGTACATGATCTATCTTGATTCTTCTTTTTCTCCCAATCCCCTCCCCTTCCTTCAACCCTTCTTCCCCTCCTTATTTATAAAAGCTTTGTTTCCATTTTTCCTTCTATTCTGTTTTTCTTTTCCTATCCTTACTTTCCTCCCTCCTTCCCTTGTTCCCCTCTCAAATTGAATATTTTCTTCCCCCTCCCCAAAATCTCTTATATGTTTTGGTCCTTATTTACCCTTTCATTTTCTCACACCAGATAATGAAATATTTAAATATATGTGTCCCATTTATTTCACTTAAGAGTATGGTGTTAGCCAGGCATGGTAATCCTAGCACTTGGGAAGCTGAGACAGGAGGATTGCTGTGAGTTTGAGGCCAGCCTGGGCTACATAGTGCATTCAAGCCCACTCTGAACTACACAGTGAGACCCTGTCTCAACAAATCCAAAACCAAAAACTAAATAAATAAAAAGAGTATGGCCTCAAAGTGTATCCATTTACCTAGAAATGCCTAGAGCTTATTCTACTTTATGGCAGAGTTAGAAAATAATTCTTATGAAAGTATTTTGAAGGCATAGTCTAAGAAGTAACTATGACCTTCATGCTGAAGACTACCATTGTTTTTTTACCTCCAGTTTTGCAGATAGAAAAAAAGCTACACTACACCATAACAGAACTCAAATATTTCCTTATGATTAAGATTGATTAGACACATGTGAGTCTCAACGATAGCACAGATGTGATGTGACATTGTCTCCTTAGGAAACTTAGAGGTTTAATTAGAATCCTACTGAATTAGATGGATGGGCCAATTAGGGATGGTCCACTCAGGTGGGAACAGAATTAGCCAGGTGATAAGTTAGATCCTATTCTGCTCCTTTACTATGAAAACAAGACAGTTATTCTCGGCTATCTCCAGTGAGACACGATCATGACTGGAGTTCATAGAAGGTGTTATGTTTTCATTACTACTGAAAAAGAGCCATTCTGTTGTTTGAGCTCAGCATTTAAATTTGAGATACTGGCACTAAATTATAATACCCATAAAATTTCAGAAATTCAACCCAATTAATGGGCTAATTGAAAAAAATACTATGCTTCCCACCAATCAAGAAAATGTTTTAATTGAAACTGCATTATCAAGATACCACTTTTTTCACCCATCATGTAGGCAAATACAGGGTAACATTCTCTTGGTAAGGCTGTAGAGGGAAAACGAATTTTCATAGAAAATAAAAATTTCTGTAACTGTCATGGGGAGAAGCTTGTCTATCAGAATGTAGTCCTCTGATGCACTGATTTGGTTTCTGGGAATTTATCTTATAGGTATAAGTATACATAGGCAAAGGATGTACGTCTAACTTTATTACAGCATTGTCAATAATAACAAAATACTGGCAACAAATGAACTATTGGTAAAAGCTATACTTTAGCATATCTATGCAATACAATATTAATATGCGGGCAAAAAAACATGTATAAAGAGACTTTTTAAAAACAATTCCATTGAAGGATAATTCTTAAAAAAAAAAAAAAAGGGGCCTGGGATATATATAGCTCAGTGGCACAGCGCCTGCCTGGAAAGTGCAAGATTCTGAGTTCGATTGTGAGTACCAAAATTTAAAAAATGTATGGGATCTTACAAATAACGTGTGGAAAAAAGATAGGAAAAGCCTTTGATGTATACACAAAATCTATCTGGAAGAACAGACAAAAATTACTAACATTGTGTAGGGAAGAAAGCTAGGTTTCTGGCAGACACAGATAGAAGGGAAGTTTTCCCTCTGTAAAACATTTTATACTTTTTTGATTGATGGACTGCACATATCCATTATCTGTTTTAAAATTTAAAGGACTAAAATAAAATCTCAAAGGGAAAATTATATGTCTCTTAAGAAATGGGTGACCATTTTGTTCTTTTTCCATATACACTTTACAAATATAATACAGGTTTTAAACATATTTTTTTCTGAAAGGAAGCAGCTCTGTGTGTAGCTGCTGACCTCTATGCCTATGCCCAGCTAAAGGCAGGACAGTGGGTTACGTGGACAGGGGAATAATTACCAGCAGGATATTTCAGCCCAAAACACACATACAAAAGAAATTACATAATGAATGGTGCAACTGGAAAGTGTACCTCTTTTCTTCAGTTTAATAACATTATATTTAGGAAGAAACCGTGTTTTATTAGGATATCATAGTTTGTTATCAACCTCGCATATACAGTTCTTAAAATGTATTTGCCAAGGTATAAGAAAGCTGCAGTTACTAATTGTTCATCTTTTCTACTTCCAGTTTCTATTATTAGACCCAGGAATGTGTTTCTGTTTTTTGTTTGTTTGTTTTTCTTTTTCTGGTACCGGGAATCAAACTCACAACCTGGCACCTGCCAGGCAGGCGCTGTGCCGCTGAACTAAATCCCCAGCCCCCGTGTTTCTGTTTTTAAAAAAGGCTATATTTGCTTTTTTCTTTTCTTTATTTTTTTAAAGCAGCCTCCTATTAGAAAGGCCACGTCTTGGTCAGCCGTGCCTTCCCGGAATAAAACCCTGATACATACAACTTAGAGGTGCAGAGGTTTATTGGGCTCCGAGTTTTGGAGGTGCACGGTCAGCTGGCTCCAAGCAGAAAAGTCCCAGCTAGAGAGCAGAGGAAAGGTGCTCCATCGCTGGCAGCCACAAAGCAGGGAGTGAAGGAGGAGCCTCAGAGAAAGGGGTGGCAAACCCGTATAGTCCCCGGGGCCACGCCCCACAAGCGGTTCCCTTCAACTAGCTCCTACATCCTCTTAGTTTGCATCACTCCCAGTAATGCCATCAAATTATAATCTCTGCACTGGATCAGTCCGGATGCAGTGAAGAGCCTTACAATCCAATCACTTCCCAAAGCCTGGGAGTTACTAATCTTTCAGCACAATGAGCCTTTTCTAGAGAGAAACTGGATCCCAACCATAACGGCCATTCATACAGATGTTCATTGGTGCTGAGAAGTCTTCCATGCCTTAGCTTCCTTGTGGGTCTCAGCTGCTCCATCCCTGGTTCTGAGTCCAGACAGTTTTGTGATATCTAATCTGTCTCACATGTTCAGGCTTTTTCCATGGACTGATCTGTCCTCATTGCCACCCTCATTATTTCTCCCTCTTTTACTTATTGCTGCTCTGCTAGCTGTTATTTGTGTTTCCTTTTGGTTCTAGGCATTGGTCCAGCTCCTGAGACTATCCTACGCCGAGAATCTACGAGCAAGGATAGACCTGTGTCAAATCTGGTAAGGAACTGAGCACATGTGAACCTTTGAATGCCTACTGCTCCATTTTTGGAACACCTGTCACATCAGAACATAGTAAAATTTTTTTCCTCTTCAAATTCTTGTTCCTTGAATTTTTCTAAGCAACATATGTGGCTTTCGTGCAAAAATTCAAAAAATTGCAATCTCTGGCGTAAATGGGTTAACAATAAAAGTGATGTTATATTACAACAGTAGAACTGTCCCTTTAAATTTGCAATGTACTATCAGAAGTATTATTTTATCTTTTTAAAATATTATGCGGTAAATAGAATTTAATTATATCCTATTTGTAGACCAGTTGAGGCCAAAGTGTCCCTGTGATTTGTCTAAGGTTACATAATAGAAAGAGAGCTAGAGCATCCTGACTCCATACTGATTATTCAGTCATTCATTCACTTGTGAATACATCAAAGATCTGTCAGAAATAAGCTAAATATCTCTCAGTAGAGAACTGTTTAAGCAAATTAATCCATTAATGAAATAAAGTTGGCTACAACAATGGTGTCTGTCTTAAAGATAAATTCTAGCCAGGTATGGTAGCCCACACCTGTGATCCCAGCACTTGGGAGGCTGAGGCAGGAGGATCTCTGTGATTCTGAGATCAGCCTGGGCTACATAGTAAGTTCAAGGTTAGTCTGACCTACATAGCAAGACCTTATCTCTCACACACACAAATCTCATCAGGTGAAGAAACAGATACCAATAATTGGAGGGTGATTAATGATATGAAAAATTATTAGAGCTGGAAGGGCAAAAATGGTATCAGAGCAGAGACATCACGTGAGTGATATTGAATGTTCTACGGTCACGTGGCAAGGCTTTGTAAGACTTGGTAAGGATGCCTATCACTGTTCACAGAAAAGAGTTAAACTCCTCTCATGAAAGAGAAGATTTATTGCCATCCGTGTGAGTTAATGCATACTTATTAAAGAGTTACTTGTCAACTATGGGTCCAATTCCAGAGTTCTCCAAGGGTCTCGCTTGTGTGTTAGTCTCACTTGTGTATGTGTGTTTTGTGTGTATCACTGTGGCTTCCCTGTCAATATATATTGCTTTTAGCCCAATGCATAAACATTGTTGTAGGTAGGCTAATTTGGTAGCAAGCTAGTAGAGTCCCCTACAAACTAACACAAGAGATTACGGCATAGGTATATTTAGACAATAACATTGAATTAAAAAAAACGTTACAGCGTTTCAGGCTGAAGGATGTAGAATGCTTGGATATGTGACTGGGAATTGTCGATTGATGGGGAGTACAGAGGGGGTGGTGCTGGCTACCACGTGAGCCGAAAATAGGTCCCCCGTGTAACAAATGCACAGAGGGGAATTCACCTGCTTTCGTTTTTCATAGTAGAATCTGTTGAGAAAAAAAATTCCTTCTCGTCTAAAAAACAATAGACATCAAGACACATTAAGAAGTAATGGATTGAAAAAGCATAGCAATTGCGGTTGTAGGACTGGGTAGGGTGTGATTGTGATAAAACAAATGGCAAAGGAAGGTAGTTTGAGCTTGGTAAGGCTGGAGGAAAGGAGACTGAAATGTGATGTGTTTAGGGGGTAGAATCTGTATCAGCGTGGGAAAGGGAGCCACTCTGGTTTATGGTTTAGGAATGCGTAGAGCTGCATGAGAAGGAGGGATGAGGGAGAGCAGAATTCGTGAGGCAGAAGAAGATCATCTTGACAAGTTTGAGGTTGACGTGAGATGGCAGAAGCCTTCAGGGAAGCTTTATACACACCTATGTTTCCGTATTTATGAACTCACCCGTGTGACTTTAGTAGCAGACCCTTGTTTGTGAGTTATCAGCACAAACAAAACAACAGCAAATACGCACACCAAGTGTGTTGGTGAGATTTCCCAGGGACTCTGAAAGGCAGGAAGGAGCACAGGGTCGCGGAACTGTGACAAGCAGCCGTCTGTTAGAGGAAGCCAGGGCCGAGCAGGTGAAGAAAGGGCTGAGGTAGCAAAGCTGTGACCTCATGAGGGGGTAACCGAGGGAAACCAACATCTTCGGAGTGAGGAGTTTATAGATGTTTTAAAGATGCTACAGTGAGGTCAAGTAAGACAACTACTGATGGCTAGCCCTTGGATTTGGCAAGATGAAGATCATGGCTAACGGATGAGACGTTTCCATGGAGTGTGGGTCTAGGGGTAGAGGAGTTCATCTGGTCACAAGGGGAGAGGGAGAAGTAGAAGAGGCATCCAGCGATGTGCCGTGCAGGTCTGGAGAAGAAGCTGGTGCCTGCTAGGAACAGTCATGAGATGGAGAATCCAACAAATTTAAGGATATGGGCACGGTGATGAGACCAGGCCAGTGTTTCACCTATAATATTTGTTACATTGTATTGAAACCTTCATTTCAGTGGTCTAAAAATTACGTGACATGGTATCTGTGACTCAGGCAAGGATATTTTTTTTCTTGCACTTACTGTTTAATGGGGAATTTTGCTGGTGTTCCGAATTTCTCTATTCATGTGAGAATATTTACTAATAAAATGATGGTATATGCAAAGCTTTCCCAGTAGATTTTTCCTGGGTAGTACAGTAGGACCCTGTTTTTATGGTGACTCTTGTTAAGCAGATGCATGTGTTATAGGACCTTAAAATACATTCATGTGGAGTTAAAGCCTCATGTAATACAATCTCAGCAGCTGTCTTTGCCATAGCTTCCCCTAGAGCCCATGGGAGAAGCTGGCTCTGGATCACCCCAACTCCACCTCTTCCTCCATCCAGTCCCCCTGCCCCTGCAGACACTTCTTTCTATTCAGAATGTTCATTTATCTATGTCTCATTTATTTGGCAGCCAGTGCTGGTTTCCTTTGTGTAACTTGTATTATGTTTGCAACTTTTCATACCATGACGTCATTTTTGCCTCCGTTAGACTGGACGTTCCTACAGAGGCAGTCTTTTTCGTTGTTTCCTTAACTCCTATCACAGTTCCCTGAGTACTGTAGCATGCTTTTGACAAAGCAAGTTAAGAGAGGACAGGGAGATGACAAAATGTTTAGTTGTGAAGGATTTCCACTCTATGTGTAGCAGTAACATTTCTTTATGGTTTTAGGAAGGCAAAGAGGAGCCCAAAACAAAAAAAGAACACAGAAAAGAATGTGCTGCGGAAGGTAAGAGATGTTTTCTTTCCACCCCATGTGAATTTTTTTGCTCTCTGCTGATATTTTTTTAAGGTGTGATCTTCACCAGTAAAGCTATGCCACCTACACAATCTGGAACCTTTATAGAAAATCGGCCAGCTGGATTCAGTCTTGATTCCACTTGTATCATTTTCGAAAGCCACATTAATGCGACATTGGCTTTTTCATCCTGGATAGCTCCTGATAATAACTAGTGCCGCGTTGGGAACTCGGAACCAAGCCAGTGTTGGTAGTACATTCTGTGTTCTACCTTTTGACTTTTTCAGTATCCCATCCAAAGCAGATGAGACAGTACTTACAAAATAAGAGCCAGTATGCTTTTCTCCACAGCCTGTCTCCATTAGGATGAAAGAGTGGAGAGAGTTCAAGCTTCTGAGTTACATAAACTCTAGGCTGGGTCAATCTCTTACCAGCTATGTGATCTTAGAAAGTTACTTAACCTGAATTTCAGTTTTCTCATCTGCAAAATAGAAATGATGAATTAAATATGCATAAACTGTAATGGAGACATACTATATGCTGAGTACTAGGCTACATTCTTTATGCACATAAAGTTTCATTCAATTCTCCAAATATGTGGTGAAAGTAAGTAACTTGTGACTCAGTTTTCTAGCCTGGGAAGGTAGAAAATATGGTAATAGTATCTAACACAGACAGTTTGCTGTGAGGAGCAAATAAATTAGTACATATGAAGCGTTTAGCTAGGAGATTGCCTGGCACGGGAGTTCTGATGAAAGTTAACTATTATATAAAAATAATATCCTTATAGATGGCTTAAGGAGATTGTGACTATTTGAAGATTACTTATCTATAAGAGTCAAACCAGATGTGGTGGCACACGCCTGTAATCCCAGTACTTAGGAGGCTGAGGCAAGAGGATCACTGTGAGTTTGAGGCCAGCCTCAGTGACAGTAAGTTCAAGGCAGCCTGTGAACTACATACCGAGACCCTGTCCCCTCTAAAAATTTAAGGCTTAGGTTTAAGTCAGGTGATACCCAGCCAACATCTTACTAAATGAAGAGGGCTGTAAGCTTTCCCTCTAAAATCAGGAACAAGACAAGGATGTCGATTACTACCCCTCTTCAATATAGTTCCTGAAGCATAGCCAGAGCAATTAGCCAGAGAAATGGAAGGAATGTGGATAGGAAAGGAAGAAGTTAAATTATTATGTGCAGATGATATGATCCTTTATATAGAAGACCCCAAGAACTCTACCAAAAGACTCCTAGAATTAATAATCAAATTCAGTATCTTAGCAGGATACCAAGTCAATGCTCAAAAATCAATAGCATTTCTATACACCAATAACAAACTCCAAGACAGAAATTAGGGAAACAATATTTCCATAATAGCTTCAAGAAAAATGAAATACTTAAGAATCAAGGAAGTGAAAGACCTCTATGATGAAAATTACAGTATTCTGAAAAAGCAGATTGAAGAGGATATCCGAAAACAGATATCCTCTTTTCCTAGATAAGCAGAACCACTATAGTGAAAATGGCCATACTTTCAAAACTATTACACAGATTTAATGCAACCCCAATCAAAATATCAATATCATTCCTCACAATTCGAAAAAGCCATCCTAAAATTCACATGGAAGCAGAAGAGACCTAGAATAGCAAAAGCAATCCTGGGCAAAAAGGGCAAGGCAGGAGGTATCACCATCCCAGACTTCAAATTACATGCAAAGCTGCAGTGATACAAACAGTATGGTATTGGCAAAAACCAGATTTGTGGAGCAGTGGAACAGAACAGAGGCTGCATAGATAAATCAGACACACTGAGCTACCTTATCTTGAGAAAGGGGCCAAATCCTTTTGCTGGAGGAAAGATAGCCTCTAACAAATGGTGCTGCGCAGACTGGTTAGCCACATACCAAAGACTGAGCCTAGGCCCATATTTCTCACTAAACTAAAATCAGAATGGTTCAAAGATCTGAATATTGAAACAAATAATTTGCTGGAAGACAAAATAGGAAAAACTCTCAAAGACATAGGCATAGGCAGACTTTCTGAGCAGAACCCCAGTTGCATAAGAAATAGCGCCAAGAATCAACAACTGGGATCATATCAAATTAAAATCTTCTGTACAGCAAAGGAAACCACCAACAGAGTGAAGAGACAATCTAGAGAATGGGAAAAAAAATTGGCAGCTACTCCTCAAAGGACTAATATCTAGAAGATATGAAGAACTAAAAAGAAAATAACTAGAACCCTAAACTTAAAGAGCCAGTCAAATAGTGGGCACCTGAGATGAACAGACCCTTCTCAGATAAGAAGTACAAATGGCCAACAATACATGAAGAAATGTCCAGCATCATTGAGCATTTGAGCAATGTAAATTAGAACAACTCTGAGATTCCATCTTGCTTCTAAAAGTGTGGCCATCACAAAGAAGTTGAACAGTGACAAATGCTAGAGAGGCTGAGGGCATGGTGGGCATGTAAACTGACACAACCACTGTGGAAATCAGTACGGAGATTCCTCAAAAAAGAAAAAAAAACTAAGACTAAAAATTTCATTTGACCCAGCTATTTCTCTTTTAGGTATTTTCCTGAAAGAGTTAAAATGGTATTATAATGATACATGCCTACCCATGGTTCCTAATAGCTAAATCCATAATAGCACAATTTATAATAGCTAAATCTTGGAAGGAGCCTATATGTCCATCAACTGATAAATAGATAAAATATGGTATTTGTACAATAGAGTACTACTCTGCCAGAAAGAAGAATAAGCTTCAGTCATTTCTAGGAAAATGGGTACATCTTGAAACCATCATGTTAAAGGAAATCAGATATGCAAGCTTAAATATTACATGGTTTCTCTTATTTGAGAAACCCAACATATAAATACACTACAAAATAAAGACAGACAATGGGAAAAAGAGTGTAAAAAATTATTGTAACCCCATATGGCTAGTGTATCAGAAAGTGTGCCTTGACTTAATAAAATTGTCTTCCATGTTTTCTGATTTTGGGCCTGTTAGTGTGGTTATTAGTCTGTGTTTAAGACTATTAATTTGATAAGAACATAAATCAGATGCTGGCAAAAAATACTTTTGAAAAGGTAGTGGAGGGGAAGGGAAAAAAAATTGAGATGTGTTATGTATGTGTACCAGTTCTCCACAATGAACATAATTATGTATTGCAAATATGTATCCATAAAAATTAAGGGGCTGGGGATTTAGCTGGGGCTGGGGATTTAGCTCAGGGGCTGGGGATTTAGCTCAGCGGCAAAAGTGCCTGCCTGGCAAGCACAAGGTCCTGAGTTCGGTTCCCGGTACCGGAGAAAAAAACAAAACAAAACAAAACAAAACAAAACAAAAAGTTAAAAAATATCTAAAACAATCAAGTGTTGTCAACTTTAAATCCAGGGCTCTTAATATATGTTGTGCTTTCCAACGTTGTTATAAAGAAAATTATAATCCGTGTGAAGAGCTTTGTTCTGAGACTGGCATATAGTAAGTCCGTGGTTGATGCTGTGTTTCTTGTTACTGTCATTGTTACCAGTGTTATTATCGCTATTATCATTATCACTAGTGCTGTCACTGCAGCTGTTACTCATGCTGCTGCTGCTGCTGCTGCTGCTATTAGAGTCTCAGTTCAAGAAGGATCAGGCAACAAATGAAAGCACGCATTCAGTCCTGGGTCTAGTGTAACAAACATGCAAATACAAAGAGGGCAAATTGGGCTGTCCCTTGACTCTTGTCCCTTGCTTTTTGATGTTAAGCCCTTTTTTCCTTAAACATAAGCTTCCTTTAATGTTATCATTTCAAAATAAGCAAAACAATCACCTAATTACTACTATTTGGCATCTTTGTCTTGAATTTCACCTTCCATTAATAAATCATAGGCATCACACAACCTGAAGACTGGATTCCTGCCATAGCTCTTTATTCCTTCACTGGCAACGTGTAAGACGTGATGGAGACACCTCTCTTGAGAACAGTAACTAATCAGCATGGTTTCAGAGTGTGCTAGCGCTTTCTAGAGTCAGATGTACAAGAGTGCAGGAGATCAGTCTGAGCAGTGGAGCCAAGGGCTGGATCCCATGGCAGTGTCTGGAGCAAGTCTGCACCAGGAGGCTGTGAAGGATCTGTGCCCAAGGATCTAAGGGCTGGCGCCTGAGGGCCAGCAAAGGATGCTCAAGGGGAGGGCGAGGACCAGAGCTCCTCCCAAGGGAGCAACAGCCGTCCTGGATGAAGATCCAAAGTCCAGAGCTCTAGAAGCTTGTGTGTGGGGAAATCAGCATAAACTCCCCTTCTTGTTCTCCCTTTGTGCCTTTCCCCAGTCCAAGCAAGCTCAGTTCAGTGGGTGCTCCCCCAAGCCGACTGTCAGCTCCCCACTCCAGTGAGGATTCCGTCCATGGTCCCTGGGCACTGTCGCTTTTGGGCTCCTGTGTGATGAGGCGGGACATCTCGGTGGCTCATCTAATGGTAGACAGGAAGCAGAGGATGTTAGGCTTTTTTAACCAATATTTTGTTGTCTCTTAATAGAAACCAAGGTTTCCCCTCCTCCGGTAACCACTGGGAAATCGGTTAACTTTAGACAAAGTGACAAGTAAGCTCCATTTCATTTGCAACTTAACATGTTCTATTTTTCTGTCGCATTATGTTTAAATAAATTCTTTGTTTTATCCCACAGCACTTCTGCTAATGAGAAAGAGGTGGAGGTGAGTGGAAAACAAATGTTTTCTTTCTCTAAAATAAAGTTCCGGGGGTGGTGGTGCACGCCTATAATCCCAGCACTCGGGAGGCTGAGGCAGGAGGATCATTGTGAGTTTGAGACTAACCTGGGCTATAAAGTGAGCTCAAGGCCAACCTGAACTGCATAGTCAGACCCTGTCTCAAAAAGATGAAAAAAATGAAATAAAATAAAATTTTAAAAATGTGTTTCAGACTCACCTGCTACAGTCATGCCAGACTTTTGCACACATGTTCATATGTTTGGCTTGGCAGCGAAGAAGGGCATGTAAAGCCTGTGTATGTCAGCACTGTGTGTCTGGGAGGAGAAAGAATTGCCTCAGTCTAATCCTGTGTTAATAGGAATATCTGATCACATCCAACTTCCTCTCCTCACCTTTACATTATTTTGACAACAGGCAGAATTTCTCAGATTATCTTTGGGATTTAAGTGTGACTGGTTTACATTGGAAAAAAGAGTGAAGCTTGAAGAACGGTCCCGTGACTTGGCAGAAGAAAACCTGAAGCAAGAAATCACCAACTGTTTAAAGCTCTTAGAGGTGAGGATCAGAACATTCGGGAGCTATACGTTTGGTCATGTTTTTAATGATGTTTTAATAGCTATATATTGGTTTACTTCAACAACGAAAATCACAGTACCAGTAACTAAGCTCTGCCTGACCCAAGTGTGGATTAATAAAAAGAAAAAAAATTCAGGATCAGGCTAAAATAACAGTTTCACTACTAGGAGTATCAGAAATAAAACATAAACGTGTCTCTTAAAGTAGGTCTTGTGCACCCTCTCTTTGCTTTCTGGATTTACAAAGAGAGTTCAGGCTGGAGAGCAATCATGCAGAAAACTGAGAAATAGGAGATCATATCAGTTTTAAGTTTCATGAAAAAGAATCCAAAGTCTATGTCTGTGTATGGTTAACTGGAAAAAAATATAATGGTGACTGGTGTCAGTCTTAACAGATGGTGTGCAAGCCCCCTGTAAAGTACCGAGAAAGCCAGGCGTGGTGGCTCACACTTGTAATCCCAGCACTCAGGAGGTTGAGGCAGGAGGATCATTGCGAGTTCAAGGCCAGCTTGGGCTACAAAGTGAGCTCAAGGCTAGCCTAAGCTGCATAGCCAGACCCTGTCTCAAAAAGACACAAAATATAAAGTACTGAGAAAAGGAGGAAGGTACGTGGGAGGGTAAGAATTCTTGTCCTTCATCCTGGGAAGTTAATATGTGCTTAGAGATGGGTTTGGAAATTAAGGAGCTTAATTTTAGAGGAAGAAAATAAAAATAGGGAAAGAACTTGTATTAAAATTTAGCATCTTAATAATTTTTCTCCATGCAATAGACCCTGATAACCACCCTTCTATTTTGTATTTCTCTGAATTTGACTACTTTAGATATCTCATATAAGTATCTATGAGTCATACGGTTTTTCTCTTTTTGTACTGGGCTTATTTCACTTAGCATAATGTCTTTAGGGCTTATCCATGTTATAGCATGTGACAGTGTTACCTTCCTTTTTAAGGCTGAATAACAGCTATCGCATATGTCCATACAAACACACACACTATATATGGAACATTCTGCTTATCTCTCCATTCACTGATAGGCACTTGATGGGCACTTGAGTTGCTCTTGTCTTGGCTACTGTGACTACTGCTGCTATGAATATGGGTGTATAAATGTCTCCCCCAGACCCTGCTTTTATTCCTTTTGGTATATATCCGAAAGGAGAATTTCTGGGTCAGATGGAAATTCTATTTTTAGTTTTTTGAGAAACCACTGTAATGTTGGCCGTAGCAGCGACACCACTATATATCACCACAAACTGTAGACAGAGTGTCCAATTTCTCTAGCTCCTCACCAACACTATCATTTTCTGTTTATTTCTATAATAAACCCTGTATCCTTCTGGGTCCAGGGTGGCATTTTGTGCTTTTGATTTGAAGTTCTCCATGTTTGTCGGCCAATTGTGTATCACCTTTGGAAAAAATGTTGCTCAAGTCCTTTGTCCATTTTTAAATCAAGTCACCTAAATTTTTTCTATTATTGAGTTGTAGGAGTTCTTGAGATATTTTCAATAGAAATCACTTTTCAGCTATAGGACTTAAAAATATTGTCTCCTTTTCCCTAGGTGGTCCTTCACTCAGGTGATTGGGTCCCTTGATGTAAAAACACTTATAAATTTGGTGTGGTCCCATTTGTTTAGTTTTGTTTTTATTGTCTACTCTTCTGGTGTCCTAATCCAAGAAATCATTGCCAAATTCAGGATCAGGAAGATTTTCCTTTGTTTTCTTCCAGGAATTTTCTAGTTTAGGTCTTACCGTTTGGGTGCTTCATCCATTTTGAGTGAGTTTTTGTGTGTGGTGTGAGGTATGGGTTTAATTTCATAGTTTTTCAGTCTTACAAGCAGTATTTATTGAAGAGGCAGTCCTTTCCTCAGTGTGCATTCTTGGCACTCTTGTTGATGGTCATTTGCATGCGTGAGATACCTGAAGGCTTACTTTGGGACTTATTCTAGTCCACTAGTTTATATATCTTAGGGAGTAGGACTGAGGAACTGAGGATTGAATCCAGGGCCTTTGCTCAGAGCTCTATCCACAGCCTTTTTTTAAGTTCTGAGACAGAGTCTTGTTAGGTCACTAAATCACTCAGGCTGGGCTACAACTTTCAGTCTTGCTGCCTCAGTCCCCCCAGAGTGCTGGAATTACAAGCATGTGCCACTTATGCCTAGCTTACACCTTTTTTTTAAGCCTAAAATTGCAACAAATTTCACTGCAAAAGAGCTAGGTTAAATAAAATGTCAAGTTATTTGCTTTGACTTAAGTGATTTTTTGTTGCTTTTGCTTTTACTGTGCTAGGTCTGAACCCAGGCCCTTTCCTCTGAGCTCTGCCCATACCCAATTTGTATCTTTTATTTTGTGACAGGGTATTACTAAATCACTCCATTGCCCAGGCTGTGTTTGCATTTGCTGTCTTTCTGCCTTAGTCTCTGAAATGTTGGTGTTATGGTTTGTGTCTGGGTGTCCCCCCAAAGCCTCATGCGGTCATGGGGCAGGCTTTTAGAGTTTGATTGATTATGGGTGTGAGAGCTGCACCTGCCCTGGGGTGGATAGTTTGCATATGTAAGGGAGAGCAAGAGGCTGCTTGCGGCAATTCCTGGCTTTTGTGTTTGTTGCTTGGCTGTGTTCTGCCGCCATGAACTGGAGCCCTCTGCCATGTGCCATTCTGCCTTGTAATCTGCCAAGTATGGACTGAAACCTCCACAAACTGTAAGCAAAATAAACCTTTCCTTCTTTAATTTTGGGCATCCAGTATTTTGTCCCAGCAATGAGAGGAAAGTAACCAAGACAGTTGGGATCACAGGAGTGTGCCACGATGCCTAGCTTTATATCATTTTTTATCTCAGATTTCTGGAAGGACTGGCTTTTTTTTTTTTTTTTTGAGACAGGGTCTCGCTATGTAGCCTAGGTTGGCTTGGAATTCGAGGTGATCCTCCTGCCTCAGCCTCTCAAGTGCTGGGATTACAGGATGTACCACCATGTCCGGCCTTTATTTCTTTTTTTAAAGTTTGGCAGAATTCCCTGGTGAAGTCCCGTGGCTTTCCTTTGTTGGAAGGTTGGGATTACTGATCTGATGTCCTCCCTAGTTATAGGCTGTTCTGATGCCTTATTTTTTCTTGATTCAGTCTTGACTAACCATATTCTGTTTTGCCTTCAGATCAGTGGTGCCTCTTATGGCTCCTGGTATTTTGAACTTGGACATAGCTTAGAAATTTGCTCACAATCACCCATCTGTTGAGCAGTCATAGATAGCTTGCTCGCTAAATTGCTATTCTCTTATTTCTGTCTCTAGTGAGGACAGTCATCAGGGAGGGTATCCTCTGGGATAAAGGACACAGATTTCAGGGGAATTTGTTGTTTGTTTGCTTTTGAGATAGGGTCTTATTATACATTCATTCAAGCTGGCCTTGAACTCACACCAGTCCTTCTGCCTCAGCCTCCCATGGGCTAGGATAACGGATGTGTGCACCATACCTGGCAAGGGGAATGTTCATGAAGCAATAAAGGTCAATTTAAATCAGGCATGGTGACACATGCCTGTAATCCCAGCACTCAGGAGGCTGAGGCAGGAAGATTGCTGCGAGTTCAAGGCCAGCCTGAACTGCATAGTGAAACCCTGTCTCAAAAAACAAACAAAAAAAATTAGAAAGTAAATAAAAAATAAAGGCCTGCCAATTTAGCCAGCCCAATCCCACATTACAACCAGCAGAAGAGCAAGTATAGCAGTCAGAGTCAGCTTTCACTCCAGTGTGTTTTGCTGCTTCCCCCAGAGCTCCAAGCTATGCTCTTCATGTGATACATTGGAGTCATTTTTATAGGCAAAATCTCTGTACCCTTAGCGATGAATGATAGCCCATCCTATGACCATAGAAGAAAGGTGTGAATGCGCATGAGGGACAGCATGGCACACTTGGGGAACATAAAAAACAGGGATCAAGCATAGACTTAACAGGTTCTGTGAGCACCTGCGCACATCTGTGTGCTAACACACAGGTACAGAGTATTTGGTTGTCATTCACTCTCGGTCTTGGGTGTTTCTTTTTACCCATTCACCACGATAGCTGAAATCAGACTGCAGAGCAGTAGGGAATCCCCTGCTGAGTGCTTGGGTTGGACGTCTTTTAACGCTTTGCTCTCTGCGCAGTCTTTAACGCCGCTGTGTGAAGAAGACAACCAGGCCCAGGAAATCATTAAGAAGCTGGAGAACGGTATAGCGTTTCTTAGCCAATGTGCAACCCGAGTGGCCAGTAGAGCTGAGATGTTGGGGGCCATCAATCAGGTAAATTGTCTCCATTTCTCTAGTTAGAGTGAAAGTGTCGAAAGAGTCGCGTTCCTCAAGATGCATTCATAGGAATGGGTTTTTAGGGATTCTTCTTTGTTTTATGAGGCATATATGTTTAATGTAGGAAATTGAAATATACAAATGAAAATGTATGGAGCTGGGCATGGTGGCACATGCCTGTAATCCCGGCACTCGGGAGGCTGACGCAGGAGTATCATTGTGAGTTCAAGACCAGCCTGGGCTACAAAGTGAGCTCAAGGCCAGCCTGAACTGGATAGTGAGATCCTGTCTCAAAAAAACAAACAAACAAAAAAGAAAATGTAAAGAAAAATCTGTCATACTAATATTAGCAAGTGACTATCATCAAAATTCTGTTGTATACTCCTGTACACACTCCCTTCATACGAGGTTATAAACTGCTTCCAAATAATACTATAATCTTTTCCATTCAATATATAGCATATGTAACTTGTGATATAAACGTTATATACACATCGCAATTCTGGGAGCTTTATTGGTTGAATAGCTATGACTTATTTAATCACTTCCTTATATTTGATTATTTCAGGATATCCTTCATATTTTTGCTGTGACAATTGATTCTACAATAAATGTCCTTGCACATGTGCATTTGTACACTTATTTATAAAGAAATAAGATTTCAGAATTTATGGGAAAATTTGGGACTTTTTGAAATCCATACTAAACAGATTTATTAAAAACTATTTTTTTTTAAATTTTTGTCTTTTTTATGACAGAGTCTCACTATGCAGTTCAGGCTAGCCTTGAGCTCTTTGTGGCCCAGGCTGGTCCTGAACTCGCAAGGATACTCCTGCCTCAGCCTCCCGAGTGCTGGGATTACAGGCATGCACCACCACACCTGGCTATAAAATCTTATTTTCTTAAGAAGGAGATATTTCATTTGGGGTGGTAGTTTTTGTTTGCTTATTATACTTTTTAAAATATCCTACTTCCTTTTAACCTCTCACTGAAGAGTAATTTTCTTCTTTGCCTTATTTGTATTAATGTTATATATGCATATGGGTTTTTAAAAGCGAAGTAATTCTATGAGCCTTATTATCCATTTTCCCGTGCTCTACACTGGCAACAACCTGAAATTCGTGGTTTGTTTTATAATTGCATCCGTATTTCTAACTACTGTACTTAGGGTGCCAGTTAGTGATTTATTTTCAATCTTAGGTGTTGTGTTCCCGCTATGGAGCTGTAGTTCTTCAGTCCCTCTCTGCCCTTCACACATTTCCAGCCCCCCGCCCTCGCACTCCCACCTTCTTCCCTGAGCAGGCTTACCACGTGACGGTCGGATGCTCCACGTGTTCACTTTCTTGTGTTATTTTTACTCACTGGGCAAATCTACAGCCTGCTTACATCCCCCAAATTGCTCCCATAAAAATGGCTAGTTTTATATTGTAAGTTGTGCATCAGTATAAAAAAATATACAGTAAACAAACTTTGTTAGTTCCCAAACAAAACTACTTTTGTGGAAATTCTTTTTTTTGTCTTTTTTGAGACAGGATTTCACTATGCAATTTAGGCTGACCTTCAGCTCACTTTGTAGGCCAGGCTGGTCTCAAACTCGCAATAATCGTCCTGCCTCAGCCTCCTGAGTGTTGGGATTATAGCTATGTACCACCATGCCCCAGAACTGCTTTCGTAGCATGCTGTTTTAAAGCATTTTTGTTTACCTTTGTTAAATGTGAGCATGGTATGTGGATAAAGAAATGCATTTTCTCTTTTTAAAAAATCCTTATTGGCGTATGTAAGAGTGAAACAAAATGATGTCTATCACTTGTATTTTTTTTAACAAGTTCAAAAATGAGAAGAAGTTAAAACTGGCTTTTTTGGGGGCAGATGAATCTCTTGTGGCAAAAATACTGACTATTCTTAAAGCTGGATTTATTGCTTAGTTCTTGTCTGTTTGGAAATTAAAGTTATAAAAGTTGAACAAAAGTATTAGTGAACGAATAGGATGAGTTAGATTGTGTAAACATGCTCGTGACCATGTAAATTCTATTCCCAGTAACCTACTAAGATGAGCTTCCCTTCTTGATGTAAAATTCCCATTCTCTCTGGTCTAAGTCACTGTTCTTTGTTATGATTGTTGTGTAGCTAGTTTTTTATTTGTCTCTAATTCATTTGCAAACTCATCTAAAGAGTTCATGCCTTTCAATATATTTAAAGTCATCAGTTCTGTCACTTCCTTCTTCCTTGAGATAGTCCTTCCAGAGATGTTTTACTTGCTCCAACCTGGATTTTGTTGCCCTTTATAGGTTGCCACAAAAGTCTTGCAAACTGTCACATGAGAATTTCTTTCACATCCCCCATGAGTTGAGTCTCATTTCCTAGATTCTTTTTTTTTTTTTTTTTTTGGTACTAGGAATCGAAATAAGGACCTTGTGCTTGCTAGGCAGGCACTGTGCCACTGAGCTGTATGTCCAGCCCATAGATTCCTTGTGTCTTTCTGTCCACCACCACCCACCCCATCTGGGTGGGAGGCACATTTTGTGAGAAGTTGTATGTGGTGGATTAACTAATGGTCAACTTGCAACCCCCAGCTGAACTGAGTCAGCATGGTGCTGGATGTGGAAGGCCCACCTGAGGATTGTTAATAGCAGCATAAGAGGCAGAAGTGGAGAAGAAGAAGTTTAGAAGCTGTTTAGAGGCTGTTAGGGAAGCTGTAGGGAGCTGTTGGTTTTCCTGGAGGAGCTTTTCATGCTGCCTTTCCTGATGTGAACTTAGCTGTTCTCATCGTCGGACACTGAGGATGGCTGTGGTTCTTTTTGGAGGACTCTGGTCCTTACCTTGAGCATCGCTTCCTAGCCCCAGTGCAGATCCCTCAGCCTGCTAGCACAGATCCTTCATCCCACCATTGTAGACTTTGTAGCTTCGACCACTGACCTTTGGGCCTTCCCAGTGCTGGTCCTTGATACAGACTTGCATGAGACATTGCTGTGAGCTCTAGGCCTCCAGCTGGACTTGTGGAGGACACCATGGGCTCTAGGTCTTCAGCTGGACTCGTGCAGGACCTTGGGATGGGATCCAGGCCCTCAGCTGGATTCTCTGAGTCTCTAGTGCGTGGACAGATCTCCTGCGCCCTGCTACATTTGATTCTTTGGGTGAATGTTATAAAATGATCCTATAAATCATGTGTCCTGCATTAAGTCTTTTCTCTTGTCAATCTTATCTACAACATTGTATAAATGAAAGCATCTTTATTCCACTTAACTGACTTCCACTTCTAGCTGACTGAAGGAGTCCAGACTAATTTCCTCTAGAATTTCCTTCACATTGCTTCATTTTCTTCTTAGGTATGGTGCTGAGATCGAAGTATGATGCCATTCTAACTTCTGCGTCTCTATTACTGTCTTTGGACTTTACAAAAGCTTTTAGGGCCTCTTCTTTTTCTGCTGCCCTTTCTTGGAATGACTTTATTTTTATCCACTGTCTTGGCCTTGAGTGGCCATTTTTCAAGCTAGCAAGTTATATTTGTGGAGAAATTTTTGTTTAATTTCCTTTTCTACTCTCTAAGATTCTTTTCCCTGCACTTTTTTGAGTTCATTCTTATTCTGTAGGTTTCTTATATGGATCTGTGTGAATCTTTTCTGAGCTTCTTCTTGGGTCATTTTGCTCTGGTTTCAGGGAGATTTCCTCAACTTCTGTTGAGTAATTTCTGTCATCATTTTAATTTCCAAAAACTCTCCATACACTGAATGTTCTTTTAGATAATTTCTTATTTTATTTCATGGATGCACAAATTATTTTTAACTTTCTGAAGTTATTGATGATTCCCTTGAAGTTTTAGTTTTTCCACAGACTCTTTCTTCCATGGTACTTTCTTGTGTGCTATGACCTTCTTGTTTCATGCTGGAAGCTTCCCAATATCTGATGATTTACCATGGAGCCTATCACTTTTCGGCCTTTTGGCTAAGATCAAGTGTAGTACCATGCAGCTTAATGGGGGAGCTGGAGGTGCTGAGTGGGAAAAGTTCTTGGTGACGCAGAGTTTCACAGAAGCTAGGATCTTTTACTGATCCTTGATATCAGTAGTTATAGGAATTTCATCTTGGAGTGTTAGGTTGTCCAAGGGGAAATCTTCCAGCTGCCTGTCTTTGAGAGTATAATTCTGGGTGTTGGTGTTTTGGAGCTAGATGAAGGAATACAGTTCTGTCCTTAGTAAGTGTATATATTTTTGCTTCAGTCTGTTTTTTTCAGTAAGATACATTTGCCATCAACTGTTTCCCAATCCACAGAACCTGTTTGTTTTTCTATAGATATTCAACTTGGTCTTTCACCACAATGGTTGTGGAGGGGTACTCTGCTGGCTAGTGTGGGGGTGGGGATCTGTGGCTTTTATCACTTTTCACAGAATTTCAGCCTTTCCTTGGGTTCACATACCCACCCCTCAAATTTCCACCAGTGCCACTACTTCTTCACCTTTGAAGTCTTCTGTGGAGCAACCTACCTTCTAGGCTTTTCCTACCATGTGTTTTAGGGCTCAGACTTCCCAGGTCTTGGTCCTTTTACTCCCCAACCTTCCAAATCTTATGCTATTGTATCCTCTTCTGTTCTGTTTGTCCATGTAGATTCATGTTTAAAAACAAAGTCTTAAACTGGGCATGGTGGTACATGCCTGTGATCCTAGTAGTGGGGAGGCTGAGGCAGGAGGATCATTGCAAGTCTGAGACAAGCCTGGGCTAAAAAGTTAGTTCAAGGCCAGCCCGAACTGTATAGTAAAATTCTGTCTCAAAAAGACAGAAAAAATTCTTTTTGACATTTTAATGCATTTAAGAGGGTCAGGGATATAGTTCAGTGGCACCATACCTGCCTGGCAAGTGTAAGGTCCTGAGTTCGATTCCCCATGCCAAAAAAAAAGAAAGAAAGAAAGAAAACCAACTAATTTAATTGGACTTAAGGATGGAATGAAGGTAAATGTGTGTAATCCCCCAGTATTGAGAATAGCTCTGTTTCTGTCCGTCTGCCCGCCAGCTCCCCTTTCTGTTTTTTTCTCTCTGTTGGTAATGCAACACCAGAGCCTAGGCACGCCCGGCAAGTGCTCTGCCACTGACCTGCATCCCCAGCCCCCAAGAATAGTATTTTCAATCTGAATTTATTAGCTCTTATTTTTCCTACTAGGAGAGCCGGGTGAGTAAAGCGGTTGAAGTGATGATCCAGCATGTGGAAAACTTGAAGAGAATGTATGCCAAAGAGCACGCTGAATTAGAAGAACTCAAGCAGGTTCTTCTGCAGAATGAAAGGTCTTTTAACCCTCTTGAAGATGAAGGTAATACGGATTTAAACAGTATTACTTGTGTTCTTCTAACATTCTCCTTTTTTATGCTCTTAATGTGTCTCACTACGTCTTTTGAAAGAGCCTCTTAGGTTAAGAGAGATTTCTGCAACTGAGAATGTATTTAATCCAAACCATCAAGTAGACTCTTGCTTGCCTAATCGATGTTATATTACTATAGACTCTTCTTAAAGTCAGGTGCAAAAGTTTAAATGAGCCAGTCTCAGCAACAATGGTTTTGTATTCTTCAAAGAAGTAGCACCTTAAAGGGCAACTGGGATGTGGGAAAAGAGAAGGGAAAGAAGGAGAAATTTTGTATGTATGTATATACATGACAGTTAACATGGTTGCTCTTCTGTCTTCTATTTCTTT